AAAATTTACTAAATTTTAAAATAAGGTTAATGAGATTTAAATTTTTCTTAATTTTAATAAAATATGTTTAAAAAATAACTTATAAATAGAATTATAGAGAATATTACTTAATTAAATCTACTCCTTTAATAGTAAATAAAGATAATTTGTTAGAACTCAAAGCTAAGTTAGATGTAGGGAGGAAAAATGGACTTAGCGATCGAGCTGGTTTTTTAGATTTAAAACATAGAATTGAAATTGAAAATTATCCTGAATTCTAGCTCATCAGCTTAAAAATAATGACCCTAATGGATTAAAAAAATTATGCTGATTTTTAATCAATTTATTATTAAATTTTATAATTTTATGATATTTTAGAAACTTTTGGCCTTGTTTTATTTTTTTTTGGCCTGGCTGATTTGACCATAATTTTTTGCTCTACTTAGATGACAACGGTGTGTATATAATTTGAGGCAGGTAAATTGTTTGGCTTTAAAAAATATACAATAAGAGAGAGATAAAACATCTTAATTTTTAATGAAGGTGACCTTTTTTTGGCCAACTATCCATGACATTATTTCGTTTCAATTTATAAAAAAAGAAACATTATTTAATATTTTATATTTTAATAATTTAGAGAATCTATACATCAAAATCTACATATCGGAAAGTAGTCTTCGCAAAATCTTTTACAAGTAGCGCGAGCAGTATTTATCAGCCATCAACTGCTGCCTCGCCAGTTGAAAAAAAAATTATTCCCTTCATTTTAAATTATAAAATATTTTTAAATAAAATTTTATATATTAATAAATTTCATAAATACACTTAACAATCTTATCTTTTTAAATAAAAATATAAACTTTTTAAAATATCCATCATTTAATATATTAAAAAAAAAAAATGATAGAAATTAATTATATGGAGAAAAAAGCGGAATATTAAAATTTATGCATTTAATAAAATATTAATCTATTCAAACTATCTTATATTTTGAGATAAGAAAATTTTTTTTAAAAATATCTTATAATTTAAAACGGAGGGAGTACTTCTTTCACGAATATAATAATATTCACAAGCGATGTCGTAACTCGATTAGTACGTCTTGGTATGTCAACATAGTTTGAGAAGTTAGAATAGACACTGACTAATCCAAAAGCCACTTTTGTTATTTACTATAATTATATATTTATTTTAAATTATTTTCTTTGCATTTTTACTATTTTTATACCTAAAATGTTAAACTCAAATTAACATATCTCAGTCAAAGAGCTTTATCATATTGGTGTCTATACCATGCATTACACCAAAAGAAATCTACTTTATATAGAATTCGTATGATAAAATAGCTTTGCTATTTATTTTCAAACAAATTAAATCCATGCAATTATATATATATATATAATATCTCTATCTCTCTCTCTCAAAAAATGTCTAGACATGCATGATTATTATAATTGCAAAGAGAGTGGGAAATCAATGACAATGTCAATTAATGACTTTTGATGAGTTCTATATACATATATTGATGAATTCATATATAGTATTCTCTAAGTAAAAAAATATAAATATTTTTTGAAAAAATTAGATGTTAAAAAATGTAAGATATTTTTAATTTTGAATTGTAATCATTGCTTTTTTAAATGCTCCTATTAATAATGACTGTATATTTATTATAAGATATTTAATAGAGGTAAATATGAAAAGATAGGATTAGTTTAAAAGTATGTAACTACTTTATTGAGGGTGAAATTCAGTTAAAAATGTCTTATATTTTTAAATGGAGAGACAAATGGAGGGAGCATATGTGTGTCATGTGGGGGAAATAATTTATTAGATCTGTAATATATAGATATATAATGTATATAAATTACTAATATAAAATAAAGAATAAAGTTAGGTGTATTATTTTTAAAAAGTTCTTATTGATCATGCTTGACTTCACCATGTAAGAAACAGTGAGAAAAGAGGTCCCCTTCTGCACCCAAAAAAAAAGGGTGAGAAAAGAGGGATAAGGATGACGACAAAAATAAGAAGATTCGTAAGAACAAATGAAATTATAAAAAGGTGGGAAAGGTTGAGAGATACAAGAAGAGTGAAGAGAGAGAAGCTATCAGTAATGGCAGACTGGCAGAGAAGATGGAGAGCTCGTCTCTTAAGTCTGAGTCTTCTGTTACTGTTTTGCATTAACCTCACAACAAGACCTTCCACGGCTGCCGCCACAGATGATCAGAAAGAAACACGAATATCAGTGAAAGTGGGTGTCATTCTTGATCTCACTTCAGAACTTGGTCTCTTGGCTCACAACAGCATCACCCTTGCCGTTGAAGATACAGCAACCAAGATCGACCTTATAGTCTGCAATATTTCTCAGAACGACGTCGTCACTGCGGCAGAACAAGGTAACAGCACAGCACTACCACTCCAATCTCCATGTTCTGAAATTTATTTCCCCCCTCTGAAGTTTTTCTATAGGTTTTTTGTTTGGTAACAATCATTAACTAGAACTGACAAAATTAGTATGGGTGTGGAGTTGTTTAAAAAATGAGTTACCCCCCATTCAAAAATATAAGATATTTTTGAGGAGTTGAATGTTAAAAATATAAAGTATTTTTAATCATTTAAGATGTAATCATTATCTTTTTTCAAAAATATCTTATTAATAGTGATTTTATATTTATCATAGGATATTTGATAGGAATAAATATAAAAAGATAGTTAATTTAAAGTAGGTAACTATTATTGGGGGTGAGATTGATTTAATTAAAAATGTGTTACATTTTTTAACGTAGGGAGTATATTATTGTGACATATAAATAATGGAATTTTTTAAATTTTTGTATCATGTATAAAAGGATAATATTGATATTAACATGTTGTGTTGTAAATATGATGCCATACATATAATAAAGCTCTAGAGTAAACAAAAAATATATATGAATTTTAATTCTAATTAAATAATTGTGAAATACATATTTTTTTAAAAAAAAATAATAATAACAACAGGCAGGCAGTCAGCCACACTCATACCCAAAGCTTGCTTTGGGTTGGGCTTGGAGGTTTTTAACCATCAGTTGAGCTTGAAGTCTGATGTAAAAAGTAATTGTCAGAACCTGACCTAGAATTATCCACATGTCCGGTCTAGGATTTTTGAAAGTCGGCTAAAAAGTGAACTGGTGCAAAACTACTCAGGATCGGTTTTTCTTATTCTTTTATTTGATATACCCCAAAATTATGTTATTTGTGTTTTTTATTGGTATTTTGGTTGATTTTTTAAGTGTTATACATATTTGATGATGTATTAGTTGTTTTGGTTAATTATAGAAACTTGCACTTGCTTGGTTGAACAGTTAATCTGGCATAACTGATGATTTCGATAATTTATATGGTTAAATGGTCAATGGGCCCTAAACTAAGCATCTACATGGAACCCTCACCTTATTTTTCATGCAATATTTTTTTAACATTTTAAAATGTTACAATATAGCCTTTGCTGTTAACAAATACTAATTTTAATCATTAATTAACAAAAAAATTACAGAAAAGAATCTAAAAAATACCAAAATTGATCAGTAATATTTCCTTAGTCTTATTTTGTAATTTTTGGGTCATTGTTTGTAATTTTTGAGTTTTTTATATAATTTGCAGGGCCAATTTTTGTAATTTTTTAGGTTCTTTTTTGTCTTTTTTGTCAACTAATTGTTAAAGTTAACTTTTGTTAGTGATAAGAAATAACATTTCATCATTTTTAAAAGTTGAAGAGAAAACATTATATTAAAAATAAATTTAAGGTCTCAAATGTTTTTGAACTTATAGGGATTGCCATTTGATCTTAACTTGTACTCCCTTTAAATCATGATATAAGACATCTTTTAAAAAACTTACCTAATTTAAAAAATAGGGCATTGGATAACTTTTATATTTGTTTTTCCTAATATAGCCCTACTCTTTTTGAAAAAAAATTATGTATTAAAATTTTAATTACTATTATCAAGGCTCTTATATAGGGCATTTAATAAGGGTATAAATGAAAGATGTAAACATTTTTAAGAATTTGAGGTTTCAATTAACATTGTTTATAAATTGTGAATTAATTAACTATGACTTATATTGTGGTCTAGATGGAGTAATTGATAATACTCTCTTTGGACCACAATATTAAGCATTTTCTATAAGCTATACTTGATTCAAAATATAAAACATTAGATAATTCTTATAAATTTTTTAACTACACTCTTTATTATTTATTATTCTTTTTTTAAAAAAAATGGTCAATTGAAATTTCAATTGTCATTGTTAATATTATACTTATATAGGTATTTAATAATGTTACAATTGAAAAGATGAACAATTTTTTTTTAAAAAAAAATCAAGGTTTTAAGTTTTAACTAATTTTTTAAAACAAACTGTAAAATACTTACCAATAACTTATATTGTAGAGATATATGATAATGGTATGAATAAACGTTATTTTTTTCATATGTATTATTGACAAAAATATTATTTTAATGTAATTAAAACTAGTCCGGCTACAATTCAGTGAAGCAATTTCCGACCGGTTCAATGTTCAACTTGGTCTTGACCATTGGCATAGGAATAAAGACAAATAAAGTCATCAAAATATGGAGGGAAAATAGGTCAACCATGTTCATAAAAAAATGGGGTAATTTAGTTTATAAGTCATGATTTTGTGGAGGTTGTAGTAATTCTTGCATTGTGGCCAGTATGTGGTATTGTATTTTATCATGTTTGTTATGATAGGAAAGGTAATTTAGTTCATTGCTGCCTTTATTTCTTTATTCAATTCTATTCTTATCCTTTCCAACAAAGATCCATTATTGTTTTTAAATGAAGAAAATTTATCACTGACAAAGATGAGTCAAATGTATTAATATCACTCGGGCATAAGATGACTGGCATGCCTTATCAATATTCAAATTATATGTGTTGTTGTAATTAGAAAAAAAAAATTCAAAACCATATATGATCAATTTAATTATAAAAATAGGGCGTATCATTTCATTTATTGATATGTTTTTTTTTTTTAATCTCCATTCATGTCTCCCGGTCTCTCCAAGTTAACCTAAAGTAGGTTTATAAACCTTGACATATAAACCTACTTCATGTTTAACTTGGAGAGATCAAGATGATATGACTTGGAGACAACCTTGACATATGCAAGCAGCTCTCGATCTGATACAGAAAGTGAAAGTGCAAGCCATCTTGGGGCCCCAAATTCAGAGCAAGCAAGGTTTATAGTGAAACTTGGTAAGAAACATAACGTGCCTGTTATTTGGTTTCCCATAACTGGTCCGTCTCTCTTGCCACCTCCATCGCCATCCTCCATCCACTCCCATCAAGGTCTTAATTGCTTTCAGTTCCATGCCATAGCTTCCATTATTAAAGCTCTTGGGTGGCAATCAATCGTCCCCATTTATGAACAGACTGAATATGGCAGTCACCTTATTCCATGCCTCACCAACGTCTTCAAAGAAATGGGCATACGAATGTTTAACGTCACTTCCATTCGTCCAATTATTTCATCAGATTTAGATGGAAAAATTAACAGAACTCTTTATCAAGAAAAAATTAACAGCACTCTTGACAAGTTAAACAACATGCGAACACATGTATTTCTTGTCCATATGAGCATGGATCTTGGGACAACATTTATTAGGTCTGCACAAAGAAAAGAGATGATGGGTGAAGGATACGCATGGATACTCACGCAAGAGCTATCTTCTTTGACAGAGCCTCTGGTTAAGGTTACGAGAACATTGATTCATAATGCAGGCCTACCTTCGGAATATTATACGAATTTTACGGATTCAATTCGTTTGAAGCGCTTCATGCAAGGTGCGTTGGGAGTGAAGCCAATGGATTCCAATAAATCAAAAGAGCGTAGGGAGAAAGAGAAGAATTTCAGGGAGAGGTTCAAAAGCACCCTAACTATCTATGGGTGGTGGGCTTATCACACAATCGAGGCATTGGCTAAGGCAGTACAGAAGACAAGCACAGACAAAGGCTCAAAACTTCGCGATAAAATTTTGGCTACTAACTTCAAAGGCTTGTCTGGGATCAATTTTAGTTTTAGAAAAGAACAGCTAGATCAATCGGTATTTGAAGTATACAATGTGATTGGAGACAGAGAAAGGATTATCGGAGCTTGGAGCCCTGAAACAGGACTTGTTCAAGATTACGGTAAAGTTGGTGATGAGACATCTGGTGAATACCGACTAAAGGATGCGCTGTGGCCGGGTGACACGATGGATAAGCCACCTAAGCTGAGAATTGGAGTCCCAAGAACAAATTCTTTTCCTGAATTAGTGAATGTAGGTAATTCAAGTAATACGACCAAGTTTGATGGCTTTGCTATTAATGTGTTCTTAAAAGCGGTCGATGTTTTGCCATTTCCGTTAAACAATTATGAGTTCGTTCCCCTGCCGAACGAAATCAGCAATGCTAACATGACCTACGATAATATTCTCTACAACCAAACGAAAATCGAGGCAAGTTTTCCTTCTTTTCGAGTTGTTTTACTCGCATCAATTTATCTTTTAGTTTCTATATATCATTGATGATCATTCCCCATGACTAATCAAGGGCATCCCAGGATATATATTATGATCTTTGTTTCTTTTGAGTGCATGATATATATTATATATTGTTTTTGTACGCATGGAAATATTGCATACAGGAGCTTGACGCTATAATCGGAGACATCACAATTGTAGCAAGTCGCACAAAATGTGTTGATTTCACGTTGCCGTACTTGGATTCAAGTGTAGCCATGCTGGTAAAGGTGAAGAATGTCGCCACAAGTAGGGGGATCCTCTTCAAACCTTTCCATTGGTCACTATGGTTAATTCTTGGTGGGATTTTTGTGGGTGCAACTATTATCATAATTGTATTAGAAAGAAACAAAACAAAGGAATTTCGCTTCAACCCCTTTCTTGTTTACAAGATCGGTGAGTTCTTGTGTTTCAATTTGTGCCACGTACTCTATCACACTTGATATATATCAATATGATCACAGATCTTACGCAATATGATCACAGATGTTATGGAGAGTTTTGCAAGCAACGCTGCGGGGTGGATGGTGATACTGACGTCATTCCTGTTCATCTTAGTATTGCAAGTTTACACAGCGAATTTAACTTCAATTTTAACAGAAGGAAAACTGAAAGAGCCTTCATTTAAGGACGAAAAAGAGATTATTAAGAGGAGCAATCTGAGGGTGGGATATCAGAGAGGGTCGTGGGTGAGAGAGCTTCTGATTGAGCAAATAGGATTCATGGAGTTTCAGTTAAAGGGTTTACGAAGCCGTGAAGAGTACAGTGAATCATTGTGGAAAGGAACCGAGAAAGGAGGAGTGGATGCTATTTTTGACGAAACTCCTTATCTCACGCTCTTCCTCTCCAAATATAAATCTCGTTTTATGATGACAGGATCAATCTACAAAACTGGTGGATTTGCCTTTGTAAGTAAACTCCCTCCTACTTATTATTAGACCAGTCATTAAATCGATTAAGGGATTAGTTCAATGGTTGAAATTATAATAGAAAACCAATTATGAACTAATCACATTTCATTGAACCAGTTAAAACGCTAATCTAATACTTGACCGGTTTAACTAGCTAAGTTGACCCGACTCTTATTATTATGCTCATCATCTTGTTTATCATTGGTTGGTCTATAAAACTTGAATGACATGCTATATTTATTGTATGGTCAGGCATTCCCGAAGAAATCGGGCTTGGTCTCGCATTTTTCGAATGCAATCTTAAATGTGACTCAAGATGTGGAGCCATTTCGTGTCCTGGTGGCCAAGAGCTTCTTGCCCACCTCCATTGAAGATTTGGAATTTCAAGACCAAGGTGATATAGAGACGACAAGTTTGAGCATAGCCAACTTTGGAGGGCTTTATCCTGTCCTAGTATCTGTTGCTGCTCTCTTATTGGGCCTTTCCATTCTGAATCCATCTGTGATTAAGTGGTTTCGTCGTGAGAAGCTGCTTTCAGTTTTAAGTTCGCTAAACAAAAAGAAGGAACACAATTAAATAAGATGGTATCCTTGTTTTCCAGATTTCTTACAGGACTTGAGGTCTTTGACCTCTAACTAGGTTCTTTGCTGTTTGCCTTTCAAATGTTAGATTTATTATATTAAGTACGTATAAGAATAATATACTCTACCAAAATAACTTAAGCCATTTGATTTGATATTTTTTAAATTTTATATATCATGGTCTATTTTCTAATTTTTTTTAGATATAGGACTTCTTTTTATATTCTAATATTTTTTCTATTATTTTTTTTCTTTCCTAAACTTTATATATTATGATTTATTTTTTAATCTTTTTTTAGGTGTGGGGACTTCTTTTTATACTCTACTATCAAGTTTCTGTAACTTGCCCTAAGATTCCCCGAAAAAAAAATGTTTTAAGTTCGCTAAGGCCTTTTCTTTTGTAAACTGCTAATAAAGCTTAATTATACTAGCAAGTAGTAGCTGCTTAAGAAACGCGTGTTATACGTACGTTACATGTGTATGTAAAGATCCTTACTATCCTTAACCCCAATAATTGAAAATTAAAATATAGCCAAGAGCCGAATCTTTTTTTCTTGGGCAAAGAAAATAATATTCTCCTTTTTGTTTTATTTATAAGTCATTTTTATTATGTTTAACTGAAATCAAGAAAAATCTTAAACTTAATTAACTCTCTATTAAAATTTAATAAGTTTCTATCTCTATTCCCTAGTAAGTATAGAAAGAGCTATATTTTAATAATTTTTCATAGCATCTAATAAAGACATAAAGATAAAAATGATAATAAAAAATAGTAAAATGCTTTATAAATAGAATTAAAATTAATCTTTTTCTTCTACCTTATAAACAGAACAAAAGCAGTACCATTAACTCAAAAACAAAACAAGCGTTTAACAGCCCAAGGCTAACAATAAGCATAAACAAAAAGGCCAAAAAAAACCAAAAGAAAAGCAACAAAATTACGATCCAGAATTCCTAGCTAAGAAGCAAGCAGTAGCCACGAGAGGAGCCAGATGGGAAGGGGGTTGTTCAACTCTTTCCTTCAGAAGGTACACAAGCAATCCAGTCTACAGCTGTACTAAAATAAGCCAAGAACCAAATCTGGTAAAAGATGTTTCGTCGATCTTGAACATGTTGGAATATTATTTATGAATTAGCATTAATTAATAAACCCAATAAATTAGTCTTTATGATCTTGTGTGGACCGTGATATGTGGACCACACAAGTGAGCCCAATGGGCAGAGGCCCAACCCACAACTCAGTAGCCGTCAGTTATTTCCTATCTCTTAACTGACTGAGTCAGAGATAATAGATAATATAATTATTTAATTATTTAATAAGGCGGTTATCGATCTGATCTATATAAGACGATTAGTCGGTAACCACAAAACACACGACTTATTTTCTTCTACTTTCATTACCTCTGAACTCTCTGAAGGCTCTGGGGACTAGAGGGTTGTGTACCTGCCTGCACTCGAGGTAATCGAGATTTCTCTAGCACTCATGGATTCTTCAGGTACGCATAAATTACTTTATTCTATCATATTATTATGATATATGTGAATTGAGATATACAGATTCTACATGTGGCATTAGAGCCTTGGTAACGACTTTTAAATTTATATATCTCAATTCCCTTTACGTATATTTTTTTTTGATATATTGAAAAGATTCATGCTCATGTTGATAAATTTCTTATGATCCATATTCTTCAGATTTGAATATGAGAACTTTATTTTTTAATCTTATTATATTTATTATAAAAAAAATCGCTGTGCCATCACCGGAAAAGCTCCAAGGACGTCGGACATGACTGCCGGCCAGCTGCTTCTGGTGTGTTGTCTCTCCATGGTTGTGGCGTCGTTCTCCCCTGCTCACGGTGCCGTCTCTTCTGGCTCACCGTGCACGGCATTTCTCTGGTTCTCCTGGTTCGCGCGTCGTCTGGACTGGTTACTGATAGGGACGGCGTCGTCTCTGATCTCTGATCTCTCTGGCTTTCGGCGACGGCATCTCCCTGTCTCTGATCTCTCTGGTTCACGGCAGCTCCCTGTTGAAAGGGAAGCAGAAACGGGTTTCAAACCGGATCCTAGGGATCCGATTCGTGTATGATGGGCCCAAAATTTTGTTTAGGCCCAGACCTGTTTAAAAAAAAAGGGAGACAGTTATACTTTTGGTGGGGCTGGTCCATTTCGTTTTTTTTTATATATGAAACTGGTACTGGGCCCAAATCGTATGGGCCCAGTATAGTGCAAAAAAAAAATTAGTTAATTGCGTTTTCAGTCTCAGTTTAAATTACCTTCTTGGCCCATAATTTATTAAATTTACAAATTAGCCTTATGATATTTTTAGAAATTACACTGCAGTCCCTTAACTTTCAGAATTACAATTTTAACCCAAATCTCTTCCAGAATTACTTATTTGCCCCTGATTACCTTTTAAAATTTCACTTAAGTACTAGATTCGTTTTCTAATTCCCAAAAGACCCTAAGGACTTTTAAAATTATGTTGTTTTGTCCTAAGGTCATAAAATTTGTGACTTTATGAATTATTGATGATGCTTAGGATCTTGTAGCATGGATAATGGACATACCCCATAGGTGTGACATTATTAATGTGATTTTGATGGTTGGCTTTGAGAATAGGCTAATAGCACTCATTTAATGTATTAGATATTTATTGTACCCTATAGGTATGGAAATGTTTAATGCATTATTTTGTATGGACTTTTGTGCGAGCTAAATCTTTATGGTATATGAGCCTTCTTGGTGCATGATTATAGTTGCATAATTGATAATCGCTTGTTGGGAATTCTGTTTTATAATTATGTTGTGCAGGCATAATTAATATTTCCCATTTTCTGCTTTGCGATTTCAGTTTCTGCTTTTACGCAACTATCCTTTGTGAAGGCTCTTAATGGGACTAACTATGATGACTGGAAAGAGTCCCTCAATATGTATCTGACCATTTCTGAGAAAGATTTAGCTCTGAGAGAGCCCAAGCCTGCGGATCTCTCTTCTGAGTCCAGTGCTTCTGAAATAGCCTTCCACAAATAATGGAGTGAGTCCAACCGAATCTGTCTAGCGATCATCAAGTACACAATTGAAAAGAAAATTAGGGACAGCATTCCTGAAAATGATACTGCAATGGAGTACTTGAAAGCTATTAGTAACAAATACAAGAAGCTTGACAAGACTCAAAAGAATTACTATCTGTCACTTCTTGACAATATTCGATATGACGGAGTTTCTGGTGTCAGGGAGCACATTCTGAAGCTTGTTCATTACTATAACAAGCTTAAGTCATATGGGATTGATTTGGGTGAAAGCACCTTGGTTTACCGTGTTCTTCAATCACTGCCATCAGAGTACGCATTCTTGAGGACTTCATACAACTCACAAGAAGCTGAGTAGTCTGTTGACCAGATGATATCGATAGTCACTCAAGAAGAGGAAGCTATAATGAAGAATTCCTCTCACTCAATAAACTATGTTTCCCATGGCTCTAGCAGCAAATCTGGAGGGTCACATAAGAAAAAGGGGAAGAAACATGATGCCCCAAAGCCTAATAATCCAACCTTTAAGAAGGATGGTGACAAGAGTGAGAAGTCGAGGAAGAAACACTTTAAAGGGTTATGCAATTATTGCAAGAAACCGGGTCACATTAAAACTAATTGCTTCAAATTGAAGAACAAACAAGAAAGTGAAGGTACAACTCTTCAAACTGCCCCTCTAGCTCTAGTTTGTTTTGAATCTAACACCATTGAAACTTCCTTTGACTCATGGTGGCTGGATTCTAGTGCCACTATACATGTTGTGAATTCTCCACAGGGGCTAAGAAACCAGAAGGTTCCAAGTGAGGCACAGAGGTCAGTCTTTGGCATAGCAGGGAGCAAGGCATCGGTTGAATGCATTGGAACTATTTCTTTGTATTTAAATTCTGGTCATATTTTACATTTGAACAATGTTGTTTATGTATCTTCTGCGAAGAGGAATTTAATTTCAACTTCTACATTGGATATTTGTGACTATTCTTTCTTCCAAGGAAATGGGAAAATTGACATTTGTTTTGATTCCATTAATGTTGGTGTTGCTTCCTTGATATATGGTTTATATCGATTGAATGATTGGTCACTTAAAATTCCTAATCTTCATGTCAATACCGCTATTGGGCATAAACGTTAAAGGCCCAATGATAATTCCTCTATGTTATGGCATTGTCGTTTGGGTCATATCTCTAGAGAGAGATTGGAACGCATGATCAAGCAAGGTGTCTTATGAGATCTTGATTTCTCAAATTTTGAGACTTGTGTTGACTGTATAAAGGAAAAATTCCCTGCTAGAGCTAGAACCAAAGGGGCAAAGAGGTCTGAAAATACTTTAGACCTAATCCATACTGATATCTGTGGACCTATCACGCCTCCGGCTATGGGTGGTTTCAGATATTTCATCACCTTCACAGATGATTACTCTCGTCATGGATGGATTGAACTCTTGCGTGAAAAGGGCGAGTCCCTTAATGCATTTAAGACCTTTAAAGCAGCAGTCGAATTGAAATCTGGCAAGTTGATCAAGTGTGTGAGATCTGATAGAGGAGGAGAATTTTATAGGAGATATACTGAGACTAGTAGGAACCCTGGGCCATTTGCTTTGTACCTTCAAGAGCATGGTATTGAAGCTCAGTATACTATGCCTGGCACCCCGCAGCAAAATGGGGTTGCAGAAAGGTGAAATCGTACTCTCATGGATATGGTTAGGAGCATGATCAGTCACTCCTCACTGCCGGAATTCTTGTGGGGTGATGCACTCAAAACTGCTATTTATATTTTGAATCAAGTTCCTAGCAAGTCAGTTCCAAAGACTCCATATGAGTTGTATTTTGGAAGGACTCCTGCGCTGAAGCATATGCGAGTTTGGGGTTGTAAAGCACAAGTAAAACCTTACAATCCACAACAGATGAAGCTTGATGCTAAAACTGTTGATGGTTTCTTTATTGGCTATTGCATCGGATCTCGTGGGTACAGATTCTATTGTCCAAATCACACTACGAGGGTAATTGAATCTGACCAAGCTTAC